CTACTGTGCTCAAAACGGGTCCAAAGAGAAGGGTAACAAAATCAGGGTGGCATGGAGGATCGCCTGAGTAGGGACTTAGTATTGGAAGGACGTTGGCTTTGGCTCCAAGAGAGACAGATTCATGACAGAACCTTGAGCACAAATGTGAATGACTATGACATGACATATTTAATTGAAAAGAGACTTGTCCTGGGTACTTGCTATGAAGACGATGCTAAAAAATTTTCAGTTCTTCAAAGTTTAAACCTCAGAGTGGTACTGCTGGCAGATGCTGTGGCCTTTTAGGAAGCAGAACTTATTTGGAGGTAGGGTCACTGGAGTGTGTCCTCTAAGGAGACCGTGGACCCAAGTCTTTACTAATCTAGGGATCCAAGAAAGACCATCCATTCTTTCCCCTATGTTTTCTTTTTATACTACATGTGTGGTAATATCTGAGACCACATTTTTATAGTGAAAGCAAAATATAAAAAAAGAAGTTGTCATTGTCCTGTAGTCTGAATTCTAACTCTTAGGAAATACCCATGCTCTCTGTGGCCCAGATTTATCTTCTAGAATTCTTTAGATTATGTTGTGTTATTTGTCCTTACCACTCATGAACGTTTTCCTTTCGGAAACATCATTAGTAATATAGTAACAAGTCCAGATAGGATAGTTAGACATTCTTGGTTCTTCAGACCAATTCTCATTCAGTATCACTCTGGAGTCACATCTTACTAATAATAGAATAGTATGAACAGATAATTTATTACAGTGATGAACAGCAAATGTGACCGTGTATCATCTTACACTTTCAATAGTGTGTAATAATTCATTGCTTATTGTTGACTTTTGCTATGGTTTGAATGTCCCCATGTTTGAACACTTGGTTTCCAGCTGGTGGCACTGTTTGAGAAAGCTCTGCAAGGTTTAAGAGGTTGAAAATCTCTGGAGGAAGTGGGTCAGTGGGAGTGGGACTTGAAGTTTTATAGTCTTGTTCCACCTCCTGTTCAACATCTGCTTCCTGGGTGTGGAAGCAATGTGACCAACCAGCTCCCGGCTCCTGCCACCCTGTGTTCCCTGGAGTGGAAGACTATCTCTCTGGAATTTTAAGGGGAAACAAGCTCTTATTCCCTTGAGTTGCTTCTATGGGAGTAATTTATTACAGCAACCCCAAAGTAACTAAGACTGTTCTAAATCTTAATGAAAGTGAATAGACACCTTATCTGGGTAAAGAAAATTGGCCTGAAAATTAATTAACAGAATCACCCCTACCTGCAGTACAAAACATGATTTCCTATTAAAATCCAGTTTGTCGTTCTTGTAGAGCTTTTGAGCAATGCAATAAGACTAAACAAATAAATAAGACTCATAAATGTTTAAAAATAAGGAGGCAACTTTGTGTGGAAAGTATATTATTTTATATTAATAAAGCATAATAAAGGGCTGGGCATGTTTGGCATATGCCTTTAATCCCACTATTCAGAAGGCAGAAGCAGGTTAATCTCTGTCAGTTAAAGGCTATCATCTTGTCTACATAGTAAGTTCTAAAATAAAAAAAAAACTCTTTAACTCAAAAGATAGTTCAGTAATGTGATTTCTTTTGTAGTCTGTTTTAAAATGATTACTTATATATATAAAACAATGAATTAGAAGATACAGCAAAGATGTCTTTTATAATAACTAAAACCCCTTAAATGTTTAATGAGTGTACCTCAAAAATAAATGTATTCAGTTTATATGATTAGCACTTATATAATATTTATAGTACTTAGCCTATTGAGAACTTAGCAGAAGTTAATATTTTGATTACAAGAGAATCTAAGAAATACCAGAAAGTATTAAGGGTTACAGATCAGTTGAGAGTCACTGATACAATCCAGGCAGGAAAAGGGCAATAGATATTGCAAAGAGAAAAACACTTGGCTAACATTTTAAGACCTAGGATTTGTCAAAATAGTTGCTACTAAATGAGACATGAAGGAACTTTTTCAGAAAGATGCTGGCTTTCACAAGCCACTATGAAAGACCGAGAATGTAAACACAAAAGCAGGATCTAGAGAAGGAACCAAGATCACTCTTCATTGAAAAGTGTTTGAGCAGAGGTGCTGAGAAATCAACGTGAAAAGACAACTTCCTTGTTTGATTCTAAGCCTGAACTTAAGCAAGGGATGATTTCACTCATCATTTTGGCCATAAATGTGTACTTACCATTATTGGCCTCCAGGAATAGATGTGAATAGGCAAAATGGAATAAGAAAACAGGTAACAAAAAAAAAAGCATCTCCAACATTGAATGTCTATGAGCACAGAAGACCCATGATTGATTAATAAATAGACATAAAGTGGAAAATTAGTCTGGCAAGGGCTGTTGAATGACCTGTGAGGAAGAAAGGCTACTGACCTAAGGGAAGGGAATGATAAAATAATGTGATATTTTTAAAGAGAACACTGGGCCCCAAATCCCAAAAGAAAAGGATGGGTCTTGCTTGAATGATTTTAGAATAGACAAATCAAAGAATAAAAAAGAAGAATTTAAGATTTAGCTCAGTGGTAGAATACTTGTTTAGCATATATAAAACCCCAGGTTCAAACCCCAGTACCACAAAAAGAGGAAGGAAGAAAGGATGGAAGGAAGGAAGGAAGGGAGGGAAGGAGGGAGGGAGGGAGGGAGGGAGGGGATGAAGGAAAAGTTACAATGAAAAAAACAAGAAAATATTTAAATTTGTTTATGAAAGGGAGCTATAAACTTCATGCCATAGTAGTCAAGAGAGGGCTTTTAGTGTGATGACTATCCCTTCTCCGTGGTTTTAGGGAAATTCTTATCTAAAGATCAGGGCTATTCTCTTCCAGTTACCATAGCCCTAACTAGTAGATACTTTTAAAATACAGAGCAAGTAAATAACTTGGAAACCCTAGAGGCACACCTAAATTATAGTGCACTAACCAAAAGCCCTTGTGAAGATGCAGCTTTAGACTGAGCTTCACATACGGAGAAGAGGATGTGGGAGATGGGAGTGCAACCCAAGAGGACTGCAGCAGATGCCAAGGCTAAAAGGTGATTCAGTTCGCCTGGGCCACTGTGAGAAAATATCACAGTGGCAATATCACAGTGGCAGACAGCACAGCCTTATTGCCCACAGTCCTGGAAGAAGTGCCACACCAAAAGGTTCAGCATCTCCTAGAGGCCTATTTTCAACGTCACAGATGGTCCTTTCCCAGTGAATCTTCGCATGCCAGGAGGGAAAAGCAGATCCCTGGGGAAAAGGTTAATGCTACCTATGTTCTCCATCATGACCTCATGACCTCCTCACCAAGCTTCCACCTCCTAGCACCTTTGGACTATAGCAAATGGGGAAATATATCTGATAAACAAGGATGCATGATAGATTCATTAGCCAAAGCCATGTTAGAGTAAATGATGGAGAACCGAGAAGATAAAACTGCAGTTCACCTGGCCAGAAGGAAGCAATGATATATTTTTGAGCAGATGAGCAAGGAATAGGCCTGGAAGCAAGAGGAACTTAAGAAAAGCAGAATTTTTACAAGTCTAGTTAACAGCTAAGCCCAAAGGCATAGACAAGATCTGTGGGAGAGACCATGAGACCAATAAGTGTAATGTTTTCTTAGGTAAAGGCATAAAAATCTCTGATGAGCAGGCAAAAATAAAAGACAAGAGAATAATCTCTCAGAATAAAACCCTTCACATCTTGGGCTTCATAAATAAATCTCCTTAGTTTTCTTGAGAAACTAGTATTATTATCAATGTCATAAACATGTTTCACTTCTCCAAGTATTTCCCTACATCCACTAATCTTGATTTTCATAATGAGCATAAGAGGTAACAGGGGTATTCTACTGTTTCCATTTTAAAGCTGGAGACACTGTAGCCCAAAAACGTTACTTGGTTTCCCAAAATCACTTTGTTACTGACAGATTTGATCTACCAAACCTGACCACTACATGGGAGCCACACCTCTGATTATCATCCATGGATAATGAACCATCAACTTGATTAAAATTACTCTATGGGTTGAATTGGCTTAGAAAGCCCATTTGAAAGGTCACTGTGGCTTGGTGTAAGTTTATTTAATAAATATTTTTCTTATTTGGAGGTTTTAATTTTAAGTATGTGGTCTACTCTTTTTTGTATGATTATTTGCTCAAAAAATTTTAGTCAGCAACACACCTCATAAAAATTTAATATGTTTCAGAGCTCCTTTTACTGTTTAAAAAGCACAAATCAGTCATTCTTGAATTTTGAATGCACTGCCCCTATAATTAGGCTCTCACTGAGGAAGGTCCTTCCAAACCCTAAAATGAAATGGCTCCTTTTTAAATGAAAACAACCTTGAAATGGAATGTTGTCTCAGATTATTTCTTAATTTACACCAAAGATCTAAACACCAACTCTTCAGGCATACTGTGGCTGTCCATCACTTGCATACGTATCTCTTGGATGCCATCATGAAGATGCCTAGCTCTCAAGGATAGCTTTCAGAACAGAAAAGCAATAGATGGTGACTTGGGGTCAGAATAGCCTCGAGCCCCAATCCTAGCTCCTCAGTATCGTTAAACATATAATCTTGAACAAGTTAACTTCCACCTCAGAGGATCAGTTTCTCGCATCTATAATAAAACTCCCAAGTTTGCTATCACAGTATTTTTTTGCATGGATGTAGTAAACGTAAAACCGTGAGCCAGGAGTGGGTCTTCACTTTATTTATTACCCATAAAACGAGATTTGCCACGAAAGCCACCATTGCTCACAGCTCCACTTAGTTGTAGGATTAGCAATTTGACCTCCCAAACTGTGCTCTTCCCAGACCCGGAGATTTATGCTGATGGATTCTTAGCAGTCAAATGCTTTGAGTGATGAGCTGATAAGGTTTATTCAAAGTTGGAGAGCAACAGCCATGATCTTTTCAATTCTCTCAATCAAATCTTATTCTGGGAACACTTCACTAGTCTGGTAACTGAGAATAACAAGAAAATGGGCAGAGTGTCGCTCTACTGGGACTCACCTGCAGGCCCGGAAATAAGTAAGAAGGAGCCTCAGTGACAGTGATGCCGCAAAGTACCGAGATGAGGGCTGCGGTTGCATGGCATCAGGAACCACTGTGGATAGGGTGCACCAAGACCTTTGTTAAAATGTGGTATTTAATCTGGAAGTCAATCGGCAAGGACTGATAAATGTGATATTTATCAAGAGAGTGCACAGTAGAGAAAGCAGCTCATGCTGAGCAGGTGAGAAATGGAAATCCACTTGGGATTCCTGGGAAGGAGGAAGGACACTGCTGGGTCTGGGCAGGAGGACAGCTGGAGTCTCGGAACTAACAGGTGGTGAGAGAAGGAGAGTGCGGGGACAGAAAACACTGGTTCACAATATGCCACCGGGTAGGATCCCTAAGAGCACTCTTTCCTAAACTATGAGCCACCCCGTGTGGGGTCATATAACTGAAAGTTCCGGTCTTGAGAATTTTGGCAATAGTAAAAGTTTTCTCAACATCCAACAACCAAAAATTAATTTAAAATAAAATTCATAATGAATTCAAGATGTTTCTGGCAACACTCTCCCATGGATCTGAACTCAAAGCATTTTCAGTTTGCATTGTGCGCAGCCTCACGCCACACCATCAGACACTGCCCCAAACACTTCTACTCAGATTGGAGAGTATTGTATGCTATGAATTATTGTATCTTTACCTCCCATGTAGTTTCTGCTCTTATAGAAACATGATGCTTTAACTAATGAAAACAAAGACTCCTTATTTTCCTACCATCATTCCTCAGTATATAAGTACTAAATTGATGGATCTTTGAACTATAGAATTAGAACGTTTGGTTTTTCTGCTTGAATTTCTAACTTGAATTTCATGTTATTTAAACCATTAAGTGAATGGGTAGGGAAGAATTTCCAACAATTTTTGAAGCTTCCCTAGACATACTTCTGCCTTTTTTCCTGTGTATTTATATAAACTAGCATTCTGAGCACTGATAAATGTAGAATCAAAGCATCAGTAAACTGTACAAAGGGTTGAAGATGCTGAATCTCTGCAGCCTCATACACTCAACGGAGGGTAAATTCTCTATGGAAAATTAAAATAAGCACATCCATTGCATTGCTGTGGAAAACTGGCTTTCAACTTTAAGAAAGCAAAACATGTATAGTAAAGAATTGTTTTTAAAATAAAACTTTTAATGACTTGTTTGCAATGTTTGGTTTGTATATTTATCTTTTATACATACATACCCAGGGTCATGTAAAACTTTCTTGGGAGAAACGGGGTCTAAATTATAGGATAAGAACAGAGAAGCATCATAGCTTAAGTTCTTTCAAAGTTGGCTTTGTTTGGTTTTTGGAAGGCAGGAGCAGGGGGGGGGGGGGCATTGCTACAGATCAGGAGAGATCCAGACGGGAGAAAAGAGTGAGTCAACAGTGGAGGTTAAGTCGGAGGTGGACAGGACTGGAAACATTCAGAAAGTATTTGAGAAACTGAGTTGATGAGAGTTGGAAGACAGACATAATAAACAAACAATTAGAGACTAACTCTAGAATGTCGGTTTGGTCAGGAGAGTGACCATAGTTCTGTTATTGAGATGAGCAATGTGGGGAGAGAAAATAGATGAGGGTGATTTTTAATGCTCTCTGGTTGCTTTATTGGTAGTTTTCTTTCGTGTGTGTGTGTGTGTGTGTGTGTGTGTGTGTGTGTGTAAGAGTGAAAGGAGAGGGATGGGAAGAGGGAGAAAGAAAAAGGAGAGAGGGAGAGAGAACACATACCAGGGAAGTCAGAGGACAACTTTTAGGGGTCTGTTCTCTCTTTCTATTGGTACCAGGAATTAAACTCAGGCTTGTGCTACAAGCACCTTTACATGCTGAGCCATCTTGACTGCTTTCTGGTTGCTTCATTAAAAGATACAAGCAAAGACCTTTTTTTTAATCTTTACAGTGATAGTATTACTGAACAAATCTAAAGCATCTCATTTTTGTTTCATTTGATGGTACCCTCTCTTTTCTGTTAAACCTCCCAGGAAAGACACAGAGGTGTGCTTCCATTATAGACAGCTTGTTGAAAATTAAAACTGACCACCACAACATGATGAAGCAAAGCATCTCGCCCCACGGACAAAAGTAACACATGCTGTATTCATGGACTAAGTAATGTTCAAAAATGAAAATGTCTTACCTTATAAGATTGGCTCCACCTTCACCATTCCACAAGAAATATATAAAAATAAGTATATTCATGGAAACATTTTGAATGTTACCTGCTAGGAAAACCTACATTTCATAAAAGGGAAGCCATGTCAGAAGATAAGACTCACAAAGATAGAGAGTCAGCCTGGGCTATTCAGCAACTCAGCAGTCAGCCCCTGAAATGAATACAGGATAAAGGAATGAATGATACACTGATAATGGAGGTCATAAACAGCCAAATGACGATCTCAGAACAGGATCAGGAGGATACATTAGTTTCACATCTCCCTTACTCATCTGCAGAGGTCTACTTCAGCCTAGCATACACTGGGCACACAATGAATGCCTAGTGAGTTGACGTTTCTGTACACTAGCTTGAAAGTCCGCAACAGTGAACTCATCAAGACTGCGTTCACCAGCAGCCACCTTGATTGACACTGTTAATCACTTTCGGATTTTTTTAGGGCCTGTAATCTCAAAGGAAAGTATCTAATTTCTTAGATCTGATTCATTCACTAATATGTATCTAATCCTATATACAGTTTTTGTTCTCAGTAGATGTTGTTACATGAACAAATGAACCATTGATGAATACATATGAAAATACATAGAGCTATTATTAAGCAAAATTCACATGTTCTTAAGCAGTCATTCATAAAAAGAATTTCCAGATTGAAAAGCAGCTTGTCTATCCATGTCACTCAATTCCTGCAGATGTGGATAGTTTAAAATGTCTCTATACTTGGAATGGCAAGCAGGATAAGAGTAGAAGGAATGAAAACTACAAAGTGCCAGTTATGGGTACTATCTGGAGACTACAGTCTACGCCCCCCCCCCCAACTCTCTCTAAACACCTTCTTCTGCTCTTGCTAAGTTGACATCTGGGAACTCAAGATCAAAATCACATAGCTTGATAAGTTAAAAAAAAATAAATGCAAAACAGCAACTTGATAAAGCCCCATGTACAGCCTTTATTTTCTAAGTTTTGATGCATCTCTGAAGATACTTATTCATCTTAACATGGGGAACTTTCTTGTCATGTGTCTCATAAGGATATTACAGCTATATTGGGAAAGTGGCCCCATAGACTGCCTCAGCCACACAACTGTCACCCACATTCAGAGGCTCTAGTTTGGTTCTATGCACCTTCTCCTGCTGTCAGTCCAGAGTCAGGGAGCTCCCACTAGCTCAAGTCAGCTGTTTCTGTGGGTATCCCCATCATGATCTTGACCCTTTAGCTCATATTATTGATCCTCCCTCTGTTCAACTGACCTCTGAGAGCTCAGACCAGTGTTCAGTTGTGGATCTCTGCATCTGCTTCCATCAGTTGCTAAATGGAGGTTCTAGGATGACAATTAAGGTGGCCATCAATCTGATTACGGGAGAAGGCCAGTTCAGGCACTCACTCCACTATTGCTTAGAGTCTTAGCTGGGGTCATCTTTGTGGATTCCTGGGAATTTCCCTAATGCCAGGTTTCTTACCAGTCCCATAATGACTACCTCAATAAAGACATCCCTTTCCTTGCTCTCCCTCTCTGTCCTTCCCCCATCTTGGCCATCCTGCTCCGTCATGTTCTCCACCCTGCTCCCCTTCTCTCACCCTCTGCTTCGTCCTTCCCTTCTTCCCAGCCCCACCATACTCCCAATTTTCTCAGGAGATTTTGTCTATTTCCACATTCCCAGGAGGATCCATGTATATATGTCTCTCTTAGGATTATTCTTGCTACCTAGCTTCTCTGAGGTCATGGGCTATATAGTCCAGTTATCCTTTGCTTTATGTCTAATATTCACTTATGAGTGAGCACATACCATGTTTGTCTTTCTGGGCCTGGGTTATCTCACTCAGGATGTTTTTTTTTCTAATGCCATCAATTTGCCTGCAAATTTCAAAATGTCATTGTTTTTTATCACTGAATAGAACTCCATTGTGTAAATGTACCACATTTTCTTTATCTTCGTTTGAGGGGCATCTAGGTTGTTTCCAGGTTCTGGGTATTATGAATAATGCTGCTATGAACACAACTGGGCAAATGACCTTGTGGTATGAGCTTGCATCCTTTAAGTATATGCCCACAAGTGGTATTTCTGGGTCTTGTGGGAGATTGATTCCCAATTTTCTGAGAAACCACCATACCGATTTCCAAAGTGACTGTACAAGTTTGCACTCCCATCAGCAAGGGAGAAGTATTCCCCTTACTCTGCATCCTCTCCAGCATAAGCTATCATTGGTGTTTTTGATCTTAGCCATTCTGACTGGTGTAAGATGGTATCAAGACTCTCGAGGAGATGAAATGAGACAATGTGGGCACTTGTTCTTATTAAAATCATACTTAACACTTACCTCCAATAGCTTTATATTACATTTATGTAGTTATTAATCCTACCAGCTTACAGGCTGATGCATAGGCACCCATTTGGCAGCTTTCCCTTTGAAAACGTACAGACCCGCTTCCTTTTGGGAAACATGAGAAATCATATAACTTAATCCCATTTCAAAACATTGTGTGGGCTCCTGTCTAAAATCCTTTGGGATCAAGGACCAAGGTTGTTCACAATCCAGAGCCCTGTGTTCTATTGACCATTTCTTTCTGGAATGATGGATGAGGTAGAGATAAAAGCTGTAGCTTTCAGAGTAGGGACACATAGGAGCATTCTCCTGCTACCAGGGTTAAAAGCCTGATCTCCAGAAACTTCTCTGGATTCACAAAACAACTATATTCCTCATTACACAATGGGATACTTTGCTACCAAAGTAGGAGCTGACACACAAAGGGGCCAATGTGCTCAGCAAACAACAATCCTTCCATGTGTTGTGACAAGTGAGCAGCGAGATTTGGGGGACCGCTTATTAAAATTTC